AATCAATTGATTATAGACCACAAGAACAGATTAATTTTCCTTATAATTGCAGAATTTGCAAAATTAACGATAGTTGCAGCAGAACTTGTTAGAATAGCAGAATGGACAATATAAATAACAACTTTGACAAATCGGGCAATTATAAGGAAAATTAATCTGTTCTTGTGGTCTATAATCAATTGATTCATTCAAATCAATTTCAGACGCGGCAATATTCGTGAGGTTCACAAAATTATCTGGAACGTAGTTTGTTTGTCCTTGAGGCACGTGGTTGATTGAATTGTCCAAGTCAATTTCAGATACCGCGTTGTCCATGTGATGATGGGTTTGGTCTGCATAAATTGAAAGCATATACTGTATATATTAATATATATGTATATAAGCATACAGTTAGTTGCATTTTAATCAAAATATACGTATAATTATGTAAATACCGTATGGCGTAGAAGTGGAAGTAGATTTGGTAGATTTAGTGAAATAAAGAGAAACTTCAATATCGGTGTTTGACGGATAACCTAGATCGGATTTCTTGTAGGTTACTTGCGTCAAAAATTTTTGTGCACTAAAATAATTGTAGACATTTAACATATTTCTATGCTATTGTAAATTTATAATCATACTTTTAAGTGCCTCAAGCCTCTTGATAGCTTCCTCTAGTTGTAAAAAATGCATGGTTTGCGTAGGATTATCAGTTGCTATTATAAAATATATATAATATATATATTGACAAATTAATAACATGAAAAATCAGAGGTGAAAAAAATTTAAAGCCATACATACAATTTTTAGAGAAAGATTGTGGGTCATCGCAAATTGAAGGTTGTTTTTGGGAATAACGTTTCTTGCTTTTTTATTGTAACAAAGTCTTAAAATATTGCAGAGTATTAATTTAAACTAAAGTGCCCATATCGGTATATATATCTCATACCAAATCTCAGGGGTAAGCATGTTTTTGAGCAAAAATCTTCCTTCCATTTTTTTAAATTTCGTAGGAAACTCAAGAGTTGGAATTTTGGACGATTTTGTGGTTTGAATTTAGATTTTGGAAGTACAGTCAACTCTCTTTATAACGAATTAATTTTACTAAGTTCTATACCGAACTCATACAATATTTTTTTAAAAAAAATAGTTCGTATAGAGGGGGTTCGTTATATCAAGAGTTGACTGTATGTGGAAGAAAGAACGCCATTAGAGGGATTTTATAATGATAATGATTGTAATGATAATGATTGTAAAACGTGCCAATTAAAGAATAACTTTAAACGGTTTCGCGACGTTGATCCCGCCACATTCTTTTTAAGAAACTACAGTACTCTTTTTAGTGTTTCGATTTGTCATGTTACCTAAATGACAGGTTATTTTAATTATAAGTTTAAATTAAAAAGATCAATTCATATTTTTCCTTGTCAGATGGATACTACTGTACTATATAAGTATAAAATGTTTATTCTTATTACCCTTTTTCTACTAAAGTGCAAATTACTTAATTTGACCTTATAGTTCTTTCGCTTTCGGATTTTTTTTTTTTTTTTTGCAAATTGCTAAGTACAAAAGATGAAATTTTACTGTTTAACCAGTGCTGGTGTATCGAGTAAAGTTATTAGGGCATTATATCTTAAAAATTTTATATAAAACTGATAACTTTTATTATTACATTTTCGCATTTTTATGTTTATGAAAGAAAAAATTATATATTTTTTTTCGTACGGATATTTGATGTTTATAAAGTTTATAAAAAGTTTCGATTACATTAAATTTTCAAAGCACCTACAGTATGTACATATATTTCGACATTTTACGTACAATTTCACTTATTGTACTAGCATTGCTTACTATATTTTAGAAACTAACTTTATGCTGTAGGATTATATTTCGGAGTGATTTAATAATTTTTTCTCCGCTTTTATGCTGGTCACATTGTGATGTACGTACGTACGTACAATGCATCATCTTGAGACCTTAGATGTATCTTCTAAATATATCTTCAAAACATACCGATTTCGATACAAATATATTGTCCTACCTAAGTTACGTCAAGTCACGAGAAACACAGTAAAAACTTCCTCAATATATGGTAATTTGAAGGTGATACCATTAATAATGATCAATAGCCTATATACTGCAAGAGATCGAGCTTCATGTGAATCTTGTTATCGTGCTACTGTATTTCAATTTGCCATTTTTTTACAGGGCAATCTCCAAAATTCGATTAGGGTAGAATCGCCACCAAAGAAAATTTCTCAGTAAAATATCGTGCTGTTAGATTAAGGTTAGGATTTTGCCGTTATATTAGGATTCGGGGATACTACTGTATATATACCAAAATTTTACAATAAAATCTTTGTTAATAGAATGCAGTAATCGTTCTAAGTTACACATGATCTTGAAATTTGATTGGCCAGTGAAATTTTTTTACCAAAATTCCGGTCGGAATGCATTGGAGTTAGCTGGCATTAATTATACTAGAAAAATGGGATCCGTTAGGTTCCGGAGCGCCGCTTCGTATTAGCAAACAACCTTTCAAAATTGCTTAGTAAATCTACTAATATCTGTATGCTCTATAAAAATATAAAAGCTATTAATTTCTGTAAAAGAAGTGTTTCAAGACAAGTTAGCAATGTGA